TATGAAATGTCTTCACACCCATCCTAGCCAACCTGGTGAGACTATTGGATTGATGAGGTTGCGGCCCGCAAAACAGGCAGATTTTCACCGAAACGATATCCCAGAACTGTTGACGAAATTTCGAGCATTGGGCCACAATGTTACCATGAAAGCACCGCATGTCCAATCTCAATTCAAAACCCAAGAAAAATCGAAACACAATTGCCAATCGAAACATATTTATGCTAACGCCAAAATTGTTGTTGCAAACAACACCGGGAAATCGAGAGATTCAGTGCATTTTTGTCAAACGGCCAAAATCGACAATGATTTGTGTTTGTCAACCGAGCAATTCAAGATTCCATTCCTTCCCCACATGTTATTTCCCATGTTGAAGTCACCTTGTTGACACATGTTAACCTCGCATCGTGTCCCAAGAAAATCCATGATTCAACCTTAAAAATGGGCAACCAATTCCTACATGAAATTATATCAATGGTAAATCAGGATTTCAATTCGGTCGTTGGAATGTGCCATCAGGTTGAAAGTGTTATCTGTTCAAAAAAACATTGATGTATTTTCCCACATACCAACCTTTTCGTTGAAATTGGTTTGGAATTTCAAGGATAAAATGAAAGGAAACGTTTTCCTTACGCCGTTGCTTGGCGATCCAAATAATACAAATTGGTGCATGTTTTTTTTCGATTTTGGTTTCGCGTGACAGTTTTCCATCAACTGAGGGAATAGTTCGAATGCAGTGCGAAGGGATGTTCCTGTTGTAGTTATTTTTTTTGTACTGAATGCGATTCACGTGAGCGCGGTTGAAAACCACAATTTTCAGTTTAAAATGCAATTTTTTGATGTTGCAAGAATAGTTTGAACCAAGCATTTGCTGCACAAGGCAACATGCCTGTTCAATAGAAGGAACGCTAGGAAAATGTGGCCAAAAAATGTTGAGTTGAAAATGTGAAGGAATCTGATATGCGTTTTTAAATGCATTATCATCACGCATGTCATGATAAGAAATGGGCATGTGATGTGGAACGGAAAAATTTCAGCATGGACAATGCCAACATTACGTCAAATTGACATGCATGTGGAAAAGATCGAGTGAGATAAACATGTGTGCAATGGGTGCCATGCTAAGAGCCTCGATCTTTCCCTCCTCACTTTGCGGACCCACAAATTGTTTTGGGTGAATTTTGTTCCTGAATATTTGTTCACGTTGATGCTGGGCGCTCCGATATTGATGGCATAGTTTTTGTGAATGTGCAAAGCGGCGACTGAAAACTCACTCACTTTTCTCTTGAACCGCAGGGCCTCAACATTCAGGTAATCACATGCTTTTCATGTGAATCCAAAGGCTAATGCAAAAGTTCAATGACTGCTCGATTTGTGCGTTTCATCCTGACGCAGGTGGGCCTTGCAAACATGTGAGTACAATTGGAATTTCTTTGCACTCCTCCTTGGTGCACGTGAGTTTCAACTGGGTGCACCATTTGAAGAAATTCTCCACAACCACTGCACTTTTCCAGACACGCAAGGCTTTGTTGAAACTGCTTTGCTCTCAATCACACGCATTCTAGGGAGTTGCCTGCGTTCCCTTCAAGAATTGTTGAAAGCAATCAGATTGAATTCCTGTAGCTCATTGCATAGTCCATGTATTGGTCTGCTAGGACTCCATTTCCTCGGCGACGAACACGTCGAGATAGATTTTCCATACGGTCAGCCATGCGGCTGAAGGTTTCACGCATGACATTTCGATCTCTCAAATCCTGGGTTTGCAATCGATCCAACAGGATCAGAATCGTATGCTGAGGCTCTGCAGCATCTTCCCAAGATTCAGACGCAAGTGCCTGATCCAATTGCGTCCTCAGATCATCGATGGTAACTTCCAACTCTCCGTCGTGATGTCACGATCTGGATTGAGCACTGTGTTGTCCACTTCCATGTCAGAAGTAGGGTTGGAACCCTCAGCGTTTTCTGCATTCACCTCATTGTTGGGTCTGCTGCTGGCTGCTGCTGCACCTGAACTTGCAGCTGCTGTTTCTGTTTCCACTGGAGGATCTGTGTCTTCACCATGGGCGTACCCTCTGGACTGAGTTCTGATTGTCCTGAGGTACTGGCTTGTACCCATAGTTGTTCTTGCAACCAGATTGCCACGCTCTTGGGTGTACATGTGGCGTCGTTGGGCAGGCGTAAGGTCATGTGTCCTCACATAGCCGCCCACTTCCACCAAGCCAAAGTGTAGACCATCTTGGCGATCACTCAAAGCTTCCATGTCCACCGCTTGTTGAGCAAACTGGGTTGTCAGCATGGCACAACGCTGACTCACATCATCCAACTGTAAACGCAAACCATGGATTTCATTTCGAAGTTGTGGAACTGCAACCATGTGATCACCAATTGTTGCATCGGCTTCTGCAACCTGAACACTGGGATGGTAAAGATCATGCAGCAGTTTCTTCACATAGCGGCGCACCACGAAACATCCAATTGCAAATGCCATCAAGATGAAAACCAAAAGCATCACACCAACTTTGAACCACCACTTCTCAGTTGAAGGAGAAGAGTCTGCCAAACACACTGGCTGACCCATAGCGCCTGTTGGCCCAAGGCCCATAGTTGCGATCACTCTGGCAACAACTCTTGCCAGCTGCACCACATCTTTCCCCCCAGCACCTTGTGAAGTTTCTTGGAACTCCTCCTGCCCCACACGTTCATCTCCAAACCTCAAAAAGACACCAAGCTGATGTAGTAGCAAACGCAGTCTCTTTGAACTAAGCACCTTGGTGCCTGCGTCAGCTACATTCCAAACTGTGGAGATCTGGGACAGGATGATGGCCTTCTCTTGGACCAAGCTCTGAATCCAAAGAATCTTTGTGCTGAGGTGTTTGATTTTGCCAACTCCTTGTCTGGCAGCAAGTTGGCGTGCACTGCTGCTGTCTGTCAGCAGGTAGTGTTCAATGGTGGCCCTTGTAACAAACTCTGCACAACGTCGAAGAAACAAGCCATCAGCCAACGTTGAAACCATACCATGAAGTTCACTTTCACAAGAAGAGAGGCTAATGATCCTTTGGGTACGGCTGGATCCCAACCATGTATGCACCACACAAAAGATGCATGCCAGCTGAAGTGGATCGACGATGGCGTTTGTCACCTGACCAATCACTGTCACTGAAACTTTCAAGAACCCAAAACTTGTCGTTGGATTGTTTCCAGCGTCCACTGCCACCAACCGGTTGTTCAAGCACCACTGCATAGTCCTGGGTAGATTTCAAATATCCAACCAGCTTCTTCAAACTCTGCAGTGAGCTAATGGTTGGCTTGCTCATTCTTGATGCCAATTCCTTGACAGGAAAGACAATGTCAGGTCGATCTCTAGAGAGGTATAGGCAGACACCGACTGCCATTCTGTAGAAACTTGCATCACCACTTGAAAGCTCTTTTGTTGTATCTTCACGCTGCAAACTTGCATCTCCCGGCATGGATTGTACGCACATGTCCCAGCTTTGCTTCCACCTTTTGAACCAACGCATCGATGTTGGCACCAGGGATCAAAGCCAAACCACCTGGAAGTCGTTTGATGCGGCGCTTGAGAAAACTGATTTCACTACCAACATCTCCAGGTTCACTGTAGCTCACTGTGAAAGCCTTTTGAAAAGCAGGGAGAAAAACCTCATGCCAGAATTTTCGAGAGCCTGCATACATGATGTCATCCACATGAGTGAGTAGACAAAACTCCACTCCTCTGCACAAACAAGGTTGTTCAGGACACCATTCAACGTTGAAGGTCTTGTCAAGGACGGATCGTAGAAATTGATACCAGCTCCTGGCTCCTTGTCTTTGTCCAGGAAGGTTTCTGAGCACAATGTAGCTCTCATCTCCTACCTTGATCTTCAGCACCTCTGGTTGTGGGACCATCAAAAATGCGTCCTTGACATCCAGCGCTGAAAGAATCCAGTCACTGTTGGTTTCTGTACCCTCAGCTACTTGGCTGTCAGCAGTCTTCTGCAGCCAAAGAAGGGGCAAAAGATTGAGCACATGGGTTGAGCTTGCAGGTGCAAAAGTATCCTCACGGCGTTCAAGGAATGCATATTCCCTTGCAACACATCGGCTTCTTCGAAGCCATTTCTTGACAGCAGGTTGGTCATTGTTGGGACCTTTGTAGTCTTTCAATCTCCAATCTTAGACAAAGCGTGTAGTCAGCTTTGAATGCGCTGGCTCTTTGTAATCTTCTTCTTTCATCAAAACGCCCATGTTGCAAAGACGTTCCAACTCCACACTGTCAGCCAGTCGATCTACCCAAGCTGGAGGGCAGGAGGATGCACTGAAGGATCAACATCAGACCACAATGCCAGAAAGCTGACCTTCTTCATTCCATGGATCTTCATGGTCCATGTGGTCATCCATTTGAGGGTCATCATCATAGCTGTCCATCGTGCAATATTCCTCCTCTGCAAACTTGACAACACGTACCATTGTATTGCGCTCCTCTGTCAGCATGGAAAGTCTGGCTTTCTTGGCAGATTCCATTTTGGGGCGTTTCTGTGATTGCTCCTCCTCGGTTTCATTCTCATGCATTCTGACTGTTGAATCTCTCCTTGGTGAAGTAGGAGTAGAAGGTGCTTCCAAAAGATGTATGGGTGTTGTAGGTGCATCCAAACTTGGATTGGGGACTTCTTCACCAGTCCCATCGTCAACCAACTGAACCTCACCTTGAACAACAGGATGAGCACCACCTGAACCACTGGGTTGCACCGGGCCGTCATCATCATCATCACCCCAGATGTTGGTTGGATTTGGAAAAGTTCTTTCACCAGAAACTTGAACCAGCTCCTCCTCAACTGCAATGCCAGGTCGGTCAAAAAGACTCATTTGTTGGTTCTCCAATTTTTCTTGCTTTTCTTCCCTGGCCTTCTCGATCACAGCTGCACCATCAGCGTCATAGAAGGCTGATGGTTCAATGGAGCCTTAAGGCTGCTTGAAACTGGCACTGATTGCATCACGGCGTCCCTTTGTTGGAACATTATTGAAAGCCACTCTGGTAGTTACATGAAGGGCACTTGAAGTTGACATAGAATGCCAAGTGTCCACGCCAATCTGTTGAATGCGGCGCACTGACTTTACCAACACCAGATTTGAACCATTGTACAAGATGAAGGAATCTTGTGGGTCCACCTTGCCCACAAACAACATGCGTGCTGAGCCTTTGTTGTTGGACTTTGAATAGCCAAAAAGGGGCTCACCAAAAACGCATGTTGACCTTTGTAACTCTTTCCAGTCACCAGTTCATAGCTGCTTATGCCCTGGTTGGTGTTGTACCTGTTCAGCACCCAGCAGGCGTGGCGCATAGCCCAAGTCCAAAGTGCATTCTGCTCAACTCAATGCCAATTTTCTGAGCAATGTAGTGCATGAAAGTCCCTGCAAGAGACAGTGTATAGCAACCGCGACTTTTGTTGTTCTCTTAGCAACAACTTAGTTCGCTTGTTTCGCGTTTCTGGGTGGATACTAATTCGTTTGTTGCATGTTTTGAAGTTTATGCGACACAGTGGGTTTTTCCTCTGTGTTCTTGGCAAATCTTTTGTGTTTTTCTTGTTGGGCTCTCGCCCCGGCTGTTTGCTTTGCTGTCTTTCGGATGGTGAGACGCAAATCTGGCTGGAGGATCTGCGTCTTGCCTTGTGTTTGTGGGTTGTGTTTTGATTTGTTTGATTTGCCAAGCTGCATGTGACCACCGCCTCAATACAGCCCCTGGCAACTTTTGAATCCAACGTAATGGCAGGACGAGCGCTGCCGAGATGTTTCTTTCTTGTGATGGACAAACAATGCAAGGCTTCAATCACTTCTGCTTGCTTCCAAAGTTGACAAATTGTAAAATGCTGAGCTTCTCATAGGCTCAACCAAAATGCGGTCTCATCTCAACTCCATCAACCTGTTGAGCCTCACCTCCATCAATCTCTACACCTTCAATTTCAACATCCTCTGGAGCAACAACTTCAACGTCATCCTTCCTACTTGAATCAGCGCCTTGACCAGGTTGTAGAACGTCCTTATCTGCACATGCAAAACCAAGAACCAGAGGGTCCTTCTCACCATCACTGATGAAAGTTCCTTTCACCCTCAAACTCCTGAAATGATGCTGTCATGTCCCAAGAGGTTCACAAAGTTCAAAACAAACCACTCACCTTTGTCCTTCACCAGCGTTGTTCGAAAAAACGTGGCACCTGTGATGTTGGGATTCATCAGTGAAGGATCCTCGATCCTGCATTAATTACCCATGAACTGGCGCCAGTCACGTCTCTTTTTGGTTGTTTTGTTTTGTGTTGCTGCCTTTTGCGTTGTTTTGGTGGTTTGTTTTTGGTTTTGGTTTTTGGTTTGTTTGTGGCGACTTCGTGACGGCTTACTGGACTGTGTACAGGTCCCCCACCAGTTCACTCTTGGAGGCTCCTCAATCTGCAGACGGCCATGTGTATGCGTTTATTAACTAATTCACCGTATTTTGCAACATGCAATTGAACGTGTTGAACGATCTGGCGGAAGCCAAGACGCGTCGGACCGAAAAAAATCAGTGAAGCCCTGAAAATGATCTGCCGGCCAATCCCGAAACCAAACTGATCAAGCTGCCAACAATTGCACCATGTTCCACTGTAGGTAACACTGAGGCTTTCACAAATGCGTGCAACTTTGAACTGCGTTGACTTGGGTGATGACTGAGGCTGCCCCAGCACCCTGTTGGGAAACACTTTGTAAGGTTGCTCCAATCACCTGTATTGACAGTTGATGAAGTGATGAAGAAGGTCCAGCTTGTGCAGATCTGACTGCACTCCAAACAGTCTCGGGCGTAATGCCCTACACCACCACCGTTGTAGCAGTATTTGTCATCACTGCCTTTACCTTTTCCTTTGTTGTGGTCCCTCACCAGTTCTTTCTTGCGGTCTTCAATAAGCAGACGACCTCGTGCATTAATTTGGAAATTCATTATTCTGCAATGCCATAGAGCGTATTGAACGACCTGGCGAAAGCCATGAAGGCGTCTTTGTTCTTTGCCTTTGGAGAAAGACTTTGGCCCTTTAGGCCCTTTCCCTTCTTCCAACCACCACGGCCTTCAACTCGATCAATCTCCATGGGCTTGGCCTCGTTGTCGGGGCTATCCACTGGGACCACTTTGCCTGAGCACGATCCCACTTCAAGACCTGTTCACGCAAGTCTGCACACTTTACATTGTCAGTCAAGGCCTCCACCAATGGAGCAGTCGCCCTCATGGCTCAGTTGGTACGACGTCACTCTTGTGGCGTTGACAGACTGCCGGTGGTGGTTCGATTCCCCGCTGGTCCGGAGTAAGCCTCAAGACCGTAGACCCGCCGAAAGGCAACGGGCTCGGAAAAAAAAAATCAACTGTCCACCAATGCAGCGCAAAAGGATGGCACTGCGCAGCTCATCATTCAAGGCTGTTCCACTCTTACGGGCCTCTTCACAGGCTTCTTCCAAAAGTAGCAGCTGTGGCAACAGGAGCTTTTGCATGGCAAAAGGCTGCCAAGAAGTGATGGAACTGAGTAGCGCTTGTTTTGTACTGGAGGTCGAAGGGCAAGAATGAGTTGTCTCAAGGCTTCAAACCCGTTTCCAGAGGCCAGAGGCTGTAGCTTTCACAATAGCCAGGCAACGGTTTCTCATCAAAGAAGCCAGCAAGGAATAGAGCTTGTTGCTCCTGTTTCTCGTCTCCAAACTTGCAGTATCCATAGGAAGCTCTGCATGTGGATTTGTTGTCAAACTTTTCAACTCATCCTCATAACCCTCATCGATTACAACCAAATATTGATGTAGTTGCCACTGATCAACAGCTTTGACCAGTCAACATTTGCCTTACATTCGACGAGCTGCAGTGGAAGGTCCGTGCTGCTGTGGCAGCTTGTGCGGAAGGTAACCTCAACCTTCGAAACCTACTTGGGTCAGCGTCCAGGACGTCGTCCTTAACTCACTAAGACCGTCCACGCAACCAAGTCAACCACTCCCAGAGCTCAGCCACTTTTACCAAACACACAAGCAACAAGGTGTCTTGCTCATGTCGCTATGGTTCTTGTTGGTGTGTCACGCCTTGACACAAAATGATGCGGAGTCGCCAGTTAGCATCTTTCTGCTAACTTTCACAAAAGCGATCAAAAACACATGTCCTCACAAAAAGTCTTTACATCAAGACATGGTTTGTTTGTTTAAATAAGTTTGAGTGTTTGAAAAACGTTGAAACATTTCAAGCACCAAAACATGATTCATGATGTCTCCCTCAGATCTATTAGCAACTCCAGTTCTGAATGCCTTTCAGAACGTTGCTCTCGCTATCATCATTGAGAGACAAAACAACCTAAACTTCTCCGATCAATGTCAAACAAAGTTCCTTCTTCCGAAGTCACAAAAATGAATTCTACGATCTTCTCACGATTCCTTCGTGCACTTCGTCGACGACAACTAACGCAAAAGGTATGGAAAATGGTTTGATTTTCCATGTCACTATACAAATTCAAATCCTCACAATGTTCTACGTGCAATCAAAGTACTCAAAGAGGACGAAAAGTATAGTTGTTGGGTTTCGTCATCTCCAATAAAACGTGCAAAACATGAAACGTGCAAATACGATGTCAACCATCACGGTTGAGCTCAGTTGAGATGGTGAGCTCACGATGACAAACAAATTCACTTCTTCCAATGCAGAAAAGACCAATGGATTCATCTCACCACAGATGTCAAATTTTCACACCCCCTTTTGAGATGAACTCCATTCCATAGGTATACGCTGTAAGACATCCAGACTTCAGCACGTATCGCTCAAGCTTAACAGGTCAATACATATAATACGAATTGTCCCGTTGTCCACCATCCAATGAACAACCAGCTTCTTTTCCTCGCCTTTGCACCAATGAAGATACTCTCAATCACCCAGCTGCCTCTGCACTGAAGTTCCAGTGAAGCAACCCTTTGGCTTTCCAACCTTTCCAGAGTCCTCCACAACCTTGCATGCGCAGAGAAAAGAATACCAATCCTTTGCAATTGGACTTGTACTCTTGTTTCCCAGGTGATTCATACTCCATTTGCAATATCCGGCCATCTCATCATCGACATACACCTCTCGGTATGTCTTGCCCTCATTGGCAAACTTTCCAAACGCAAACTTCGTTCTGCTCCAATCTCGAAAACTCATGCCTTCAGGCACCAAATCAGCAGTAAGCTGATCAAGGACCTTGTCGGCGATCCCAGGAAAGATTGGGATAGTCATCACAGGCAACTGCGCATTCAAAGGTTCAGCTGCCGAAGAAATCAAATCGAATTCATCATCATCCAGAGCCTCACGAAGTCGCTTGCTTCCATCTGTCATTGCTCCTTGACTCTCCAAAGGAGTCAAAATACTGGATCCGGCTGCACAGCCTGACCCTGAATTCTCACTGTGCCACTTCTTCTGAAGAAGACCAAGCAAAGCCTTCTCATCTTCATCTGTCCATCCAGACTTGGCCATGGCTACAAACCAAGCCGCGTCCGGTAGTGAAAAAGCACTAGACCGTGGCTAAACTCTTAGGAGCAATCAACCTAGAACGTGAAACGAAGTGTCGAACCGCCATCACAGTCGTGATAGGATCAGTAACCTTTCCGATTGTTCTGCGCTGCGCAAACACACTGCATTTCCCAGTATCGCGCAACAAACTCTGCACAAAATGAAACATGGTGAAAACTCCTGTTTGTCTTCGGCAACGTTTGTTTGAAAACAACGTGCAAACAGAAATGAAACGAAATGTGGATCCAACTTCTGTCTCTCTCTCTGTCACAGGGTCCCCCTTTTAAACGCAAATTCAACTCTTCTTCGAAGCATGTTTGACTGCAATCAAAATGTATCTTGCCAACTTTCTGTTGTAAAACGCTGTTTCAGTATAGTTGATTTGATAAAGTTCTGCATGAGTCTGACATGTGCATGTAGAAAGTTTGGAGTGAAGATTTAGTGCAAACCAAGCTGAATTGGAAACAACCTTCAATGTCTTTCCAATCGGAATACCATCCTTGTTCTGGCATCCAGTCTTGCACAACCTCACCAAAGCCTCATGCCTCATGTCAAAACTCTGCAAAAGATTCACTGTCTCAGGTCGGGGCCAAATGGTATTTCGTTCTGGGAGCTCAAACGAACATGAGTCTGCATGTTTGAAGTAACCACCAATCGCGTTGATGATCTCATCCCATTCCTGGTCCTTTTCAGTGACTGAGTCCGGATTGAAATTGCGAAGTGGACTTCCACTTCCACAAGGAGTCGATGCATGAATATGCACCCAAGGTGGACATGACGAGTTCTTCCACTGTCGGATGCAAACAGCTACACGACTCAATGTTCCAGAACTCTGCACCTTAGCAACTACACCAATGTATGGGACCTTTGAAACTTCACAGACCTTTCTCAAGTTCGAATGTTCCGAACAACACAGTTCCACAATCGCAATTGAAGAACCCTGAGTCAACACTTGCTGCAACACACTCAGCTCACGAAGTTCTGCCAACTCAGCTGCCAAACCATCTGGAACAACAATCCCAAGAGCATATCGGTGTTTATAGAAAGCTTTAGCACTCAAGCATTTAGTGAAAAGATCTGCTGGATTTTCAACACCACTTCTGTGTCTCAATTTCAACAAACCCTCTCTCATCTGCTCTCGTAACCAATGCAATCTTATTTCAATGTGTCGTGAGCGTCGTGGCACGTCCATGGACCTCACAAGTTGCAATGCGGAGCTTGAATCGCTCTCCAGCCAAATCACAACTTCTTCTGGTTCATCAATCTCATGAAGTGCAAAAAGAAGACGGTGAACCAGTCTTCCAAACGCAACACTTTCTTGACACACTGATTGCAAACCATAGAGTTCTGCCTCACATGAACTCAAGCTCAAAGCTTGTTGCTGTCGGCTCAGAGACCTTACCAGTGACCTCTCAAAGAAAACAGCTCCACCGCTAACACCTTTGCGGTTGTTGAAACGATACGGCGCATGTGAAGCGTCGCTGAAAGAATGAAGATGGACTGATCTTAGTTGAGCATCGTCAACCTGACTCATGATGGTCTCATCTCTGCTCGGTAGACACAAGCATGCATGCATGTCAACATACAAGAATCTCAAGACTGCTTTCAACGCTTGTTCAGTTCCGTGCATCGGTTTCGCTTGCTGCGTTCCAAGAACAGACATCCATGTCTTCAAGTCATGACGTACCTGTGACAACCAAAGCAACTTTCCCAACGCTTTCCTGAAGCGTGAGTATGCTTCATCTGACAAAGGTTTCTGAAAGTTGCTATCCGTGAGTGTCTTCTCAAGATGTCCCGAAATGTCAGGCACATTCTCAGACCCACGGGTAACACCATAATCCAGAAACGTAGAGTCAAGATAATGTGGATCAACACCCAGAGTGATCTCAGAGGAATCTCTCTCTTTCTTGATAACACGACCAATAAAGGTCAGGGATCCTCCCTCTTCTCCGATCTCTCCAGTTGTCTTCACAGGCACTACAGACGACAAAGTTGCAACCACATGTTCCTCGGCTTCCTTAGTGGTCGACAACAACAAGATGTCATCAACATACACAACACACAAACAAAACCCAATCTCATGACCATCTTTCACGATCTGTCCACCATACACACACGGCTCCAACGAATCAGACCAAAGGCCTACATGTTCAACCGTAAATGTCAAAAGCTGCAACCATGCCAGTGAAGCATCACGTAACCCGTTCAATGCCTTTTCAAGCAAATAGTAGGTCGCTTCACCTGATGGAAAGCTAATCGACAATGGCATTTTCAAGACAACATGTACACCAGTTCCCAATGGGCTATGCATGAAGGCATGACTCACGTCCAATGCACGCAAAAGCATCTTCCGTGTCGCTGCCATTGCAAGCACCAAATGAACACTTTCAATCGAAGGAGTCGGACTGCTAAATCCCAAAGATCTAGCTGAGGAGCCACGATTGAAGTCCTTCGCAACAATCCTGGTTCGAACCCTCTCACTGCTTTTGTAAGCTGCAACCCACCTTGACTGGATCAAACGAAGGTTCGGAACAGCCTTCTTCATGTCGTCCAGTTCTGACTGGGTGATGATGCGGCCAGTCTTGCAGTGTTCCAAGTTCCTAACCTCCTCTTGCATACCTTTGAAACCTTGTTCCAAATCAAGCTCTTGCAGACTCTGGTCATCTATGATACTGTCAGGTTTCCAAACCAAGACATCCTGACCTCCAAGACGCATCTTCACAAAATCATGCTCATTGCCTCGATTGAAACAAACAGAATCAAGAGAACCAGAAAACATTTCTGGAGATGTTGCCGGAGCAAAAGATGCTGGACCTTCAAGTGTGCCCAAACTCGCAACCAACACAGGCTCACCACTACCAACCCAAAACCAATCAAAATCCATGTTTGTTTGAAGCAGTTCCTCAGAATCTTCACGGATCTCTCTTTCCAACTGTTCTCGGTCGGTCTCAGCTTTCCTTTTAAACCTTCTAGTGTACTCAAC